CCCCCATCACTCCCCCCACCCCAGACGTTGTTCAACCCCAGTAAGACGGTGGTCAAGATGTTCGTGGTGGCCTACGACCTCTCGGACATGCCGCCATCTTGCCAGACATTTGTACGACAGCGCACCGTCTACCAGCCGCTGGACAGGAACTCGGAGCTGCCGTCCTACCTGCGCTATCTCATACACCTCCGGTGAGTCAAAGGTCAAGGTGGGTGGTTGGCGGGTGCTCTGGTGTGGTTTGCTCCTTCTTTCCCATTAAAAATCTGTCGTCTCTATCCTCCCCCCTCCCCTTCTTTTTTTGTGTTTGTTACTCTCTTGTAACACCTCTAATCTTCGGCACTTATACGACCTTATTGTGTTGCAAGTGCCGAAAAACACTTACTAAAACAAAAATAACATCAAAGGTCAAGGCCAGTGCTGTCACGGCATGTGTGTGGGGAAAGGCAAAGACGCAACAATCTGCCGTCTGCCGGTGTTGTTTTCAAAGTTTTCTTACTTCGCTTCCTGTGGGTGGTTGATGGGTGCTGTTGTGTGGTTTGCTCCGTCTTTCGCTGTGCTCATCTTTCGTACTGATCTTTCTTCCTTCCTGTTATGTGTTTGTTACTCTCTTGTAATGCCTTAACGCTTTGCAGTCACACAGCCAGCAGTACAAAATACCCCATCTGGTCACGCAGCCTGCAGTACAAAATACTCCATCTGTGGTCACCCAGCCAGGAGAGTCTAGAGCGACCACAACGGATTTCTCAGGCCTGGCGCAGAAGTGTGCCAGGTGACCGGAACGGATCATTTTCACCGGCGCATTATTGCGCCAAGTGACTGCAAAGTGGTAACTCTCTTGCTGCTGGTCCCATAACTGTTGTGCGATAGTCCGCCGTAGTGTCGATGCGGCTCCCGCAAGCCTTGTGCGATCGTTTTTATTAAATAATGCGAATCAGCGAAAATACGAGCGTAGCTTTCTTCTGACGACTGCTATACGCGTCTACAGCCATTTTTTGGGTCATTTCTAAGCCGTTTTTGGAAGCTGAAGCGTGTTGAAAGATTTTTTGTGAATTCTTTTTAGCGAACGACCGTTCCAGGAGTGAAAATGGCAAAACGTCATGTAAATTTGTTTGAAAAGTTTGAAGAATTCGTTGGGAATGGCTCAGATATGGAGCCATCCAGGGATGACGACGATGTTTTAGTGTTTCCGGGGCAAGACCTTGAACTAGATCTAGATCTAGGTTTCGGCTTCGATTATAATGATGAGGAGTCTCGAGGGAGTCGCTACCCGGATTCGAACCCGGGACCTTTGAATGAGACGCCAACACCTTAACCTCTAGGCCACGAGAGCCCCCAGCTTTTCTTCGGCACAACAGCAGACACACCCACACAGTCGTGCGGCACTGCTGGCAGCAAAAGGGTCGGCATGCCGACGGAGCTGGAGACGGGGAATTTGAACACTGGTGATGTCATTGCTGTGAGGAAACAAGGACCCCCCC